AAAATGAATGAAAGTAAAAACTGTGGATCCAAAGAAAGTGTCATTCATGAACAACAAAGTCAACAAGCAGGAATCAACAATGGGCTATCGTAACGTTCTACAATAGAATAAAAGAGCATGCAAACAACTGGTAGGTCAGTGACTACTTCAATACGCTCTGTAAACATTATAAATAAATGCAAGCTAAATAGTCAACAGGTGGCTACCTGTGCAGACTGACTGCAGACAGAAATTGTGCTTTGATATCTTCAATCTGAAAAAAGGAATGATGATGACTCAACTAAGTCTGAGAAACATTTAGGTTGATAACTAATTGACTTATGAAGGACAGTGAACACGGATATAACCAACCATGAAAAGTAAAAACTATAGTAGTAAGTGTAAGCAATTAACTAGTGAATGAAAAAAGTAACTAAATAACAAGTTTGGCTGATCCCAGTTATTTCATTAAGAGACTTATATTTAGAAAGTCACAAGATATATAACAAGAGTAATAATATGAACTTAATCAGAATAATTTATTAATGTTCTGTATCTAAAGTATTTAGGTCAAAATTAAACATTCAAAAACTAAAATTACGAAAAAAAAAAAAATATTTAAAAAATAAGCAATTATATAAATAAATACAAGAAACTAAAATTTCACAAACTTAAATCATAGAAAAGAAAGAAACTTTAATCCATTGAGGATAAGTACAAGATTTTATTGCAATAGCCATGAAGACAACTGTAGGATCAACATTGCTATTTCATATATTTTAGTTGACCCAAATAAATTTTATACATAAAGTAGAATATCATATTTAGCTTAACAGGAATAATATTGAAAACAATCCAGTGATTTTGGTTTAAACTGATTTTTTTTTCCTAAAGTGAGCAACAAAAAGAAAAATTCAGACAACTTTTACCTTAAGTTTAAATAAACAAATACTAAGGAATTTATAAGGTTTAAGGTATAACAAGATTAAAGAACTTTGGCTCATTAAACAGTGGTAAAAACCAACTTTGAGCAACTCAAAATTATAGAGCTTAAATTTACATATATACAGGCAAAAAATAAAATAGTTTATTTTGCCATACCAAGAATTTGATAAAGATAAAATTGACAAATATGAACATATTGAAGACAAATATACATTCTAAATTTTGATTAAAAATAGCGTATTTTTATTGCTAACCTAAAACCTGTATGATTTTTTGTGCTCTTAATTTGCTTTGCTTTCATATTGAAGATATAACTACTATAGCTTAAGTTTGTTTTTAACAAGTAATATATTTTAGCTTTAAAAATCAATGTAAATGTTCTGTAAGCCAATTTGAAAATAAGAAAAAAATTCTGAGATACTGTTCAAGATTATGCTTATGTGAAGTATGTGATGTGTGTATGTGCATGTATACGCTTACACACAATTTTGTTTACATTAATCATGGCTATAATTGTTTTCTGTGTGAACATGATACTTCCACTTGATTCTGCTAAATATTTTCTATAAATATAAGGCTAAGGATGAAAAATACATTCTCATATTGGGCCTTTTATCTCTTTTTCTATGAATTTCCAGTAAAACAATTCATAGTACTTGAACATTAATTTACATTTTCAAATATAATTTATACTTATTTAAAAATAAATGTAAAACAGAATTGGCAAAAATTTGACAACTATTTTCATTCAAGCTATAAAACAAATCTTAAACTTAAATCAAAAGTGAAGCAAATAAGTGTACAAATCCATAAATTTATTGTACATGCAATTTTGCCGATGGAAAATAGGACTAATGATAGACTTTAAGGATTGGGAAAAAAATAAAAGGTTTCTAATAAAGAATTAAAGATTCAAGCCTAAAGAAAACATGCATTTTATACAGTAGATTATCTTTGCACATGTAGAAAATGCATATGAATTTATAAATTATCCATATCTAATATCAATAAATTTTCCATTTTATAAAAAGTTATCAGGAGGCAATTACATCATAACTGAACAGTTTTTGTAATGGTCCAAGACTCAAAAGTAACTACAACACCACATTCATTCCTCTTTGGCTTTCTGATACTAACACAACAAATAATTCAGCTTTGCTCTTTATATACAACTTATAAACTATCCTCAAACATACATATATACAGACAAGCAACTCCTGCAAGAGTAAAATCTTGGAACATTTCTCCAAAAATGCTTGTATACATGCCAAAAAATCTCAAACATTCATATTATTTCTTAAAGGAAGGAGAGAGAAAGAAAAAGATTAATACTCCATAATAAAGATGTATTTTGATACTTGAAACCAACAAAAGCTTGAAAAACCTGATTCTATTTAATAGGAACATTTGGTGTAACCATCCAATATTTGGTTCATGAAAATATAAGGTTAACCTCATAACCTTGAATAAAGATTCAATTAAAGTTTATTTTTGAAATATTCAACTGAACTAATATTAGAAAAAATAACAACAATTTCTGTAATAAATAATATAATTAACTAATAATAACTAATTCATCAACACAAATTCTGACAAAGGCTGCAATTTAAAAATCAAATTGCTACATCAACTCATCAGCTATAAAGACATCTGTAGGATCAACATTCCTAATTTCATATATTTTAGTTGCCCTAATTAAGAATCAATTCATACAAAGGTAGAATAGAGTATCTTAACCAGAATATTGAAAAAAAATATCCAATGATTTTTGTTTCAAATTGATTTTTTTTGCTAAAGTAAACAACTAAAAGAAAAATTCAGACAACTTTTATCCAAAGTTTAAATAAGCTGATAAGGGAGTAAATTATAAAGTTTAAGCCATAATTATAAATAATCTAAAACTGCCTAAAATCATACAAAAAGAGTGTTAATTTAAACTAATGAGTTTAATCTATGGGAATTTTCTTGAGATATAATGTGATTGCAATTCTAAGAAATAAAATATATAGAGCATTAAATAAAAAGATTAATATTAATGAAATTTTGGTAATCAATATTTAAATAATACTAGCTTTACAAGATGAAAAATTAGATATTTTACAATAATTTTCAACTTTTCAATATATAACAGCATTCATCACAAGAGTAATTTACATATATTTTTATTTTGAATGACTGTTTCAAAATACAGAATATATTTATATAAAAACCTTAAGTTTACATGATATGTTGTTATTTACTAAGGATCAGACTCATTGCTTATGATGTACAAATCCAGCTTGCTGACTATAATGAGCCACCTGATTTATAAATGCTGTTGGGTAATTGTTATATCTAATTCCAAATAAGTTTACCTTCTGAATTATTTGCATGATCAAATTAGTAATTTTCAAAATGTATTTCCTTAGGTTGGTAATGAAACTAAAAATGAAACCTTAAAGGAATGCAATCCTTGAAAATAAAGAAGTTAAATTGCCTATAAATACAATTAAGTGTAGAAAGTGCACACTTAAATATAATGTAAACTATTCTTCAAATTTAGAAATTATATCAAAAACCTATGTTTTGATAGTAAAAATGTTTAATAATGAAGTAGTTTTCTATCACAAAATAGATCTTTTCTATTTTGAAGATCAATAATTTTAATTTTCAACTTATTGTAAAATACTTTACAAGATACATTTTTATCAACAATTATACATTTTTATTAACAATTATACATTTTTATTAATTTGGGTATATGTTCTTAACTTTAGTACATTTATTTAGAGAATGAATTTATTAAAATTTACAGGTGATATACTGGTAGCTTTTATATGAATATTAAAACAGCCTTTTGTACATCAAAACTTAATCTCACATATAAAGATAGCATTATGAAATCTATACTTGATGAAATAGAAAAAAAATAGTTGTTCCTAAAGCTGAAAAATTTGTTTCTCAAATTTGATTCTAATCAACATGAGCTAAATGAATATTAAAAATAATTTGTGTCATAAAAATAAAAAAAAATTTTTTATGGCACAGCAATGTGAAGGTATCTTAAATATCAAATTAATTTTCCCAAATAGCCCTGACTTTCATGCTGTTATTTTCCTAGTCTAAGTAGGCTTTGATTTATTAAATTTTTGTAGACATAAATCATATGCCACAAAGTTAACAGAAAATAAAATGTGACATAGGTGACCAAAATGAAAATACCTTTTCACTATAAAATTAAAATGTTATACTGTGACATTTTACTCAATTATCAAATATTCTTATACATTAAAAAGATAAATCAAGTTATTAAATTATCATTAAACAATCTTTTTAGTCTTCAAACAGTTATTTTTTGAAAAGCATTTTTTTTTTGCTAATATAGCAAACTTTAATAATATTTATCTTATCTTTTTTTTTTTTTTTTTTTTTTTACAATTTAATCATTTTTAATTTTTGTCATAGTATTAACAGATATCCCTGATCTGCTGATATAAGCTAGTGGCCAACACCATTTGTTTCTTTATTTTTTTTTCTAGTGAGGACAAAAAAATAAAGCATTCAAAACAAAGGCATGAAAGAAATTCAAAAAGTTAAGACAGAAATGAGTACAAGTTGAAGACAAATCTTTCCTTCAGATTGTGATATCAAAAAGAAGGTAGTAATGAAGTAACTTCTGTTCAGGCAAAACATGAAAAATGTTTGTTTACTTCTAATAGCTGAAATTTAATATGACAAAAATATTTCATGTATTCAGTCCCTTTCAGCTATATTTTACTTATAACAGGTATGTGATCAGTGATAGATGCAACAAGTCATTCACTTTTACTGCCATATTCAGGATGACCTCAAAGATAAGGGGATAAAGAAATTTGTTCAATTAAGTAATCTAAAACCCTAAGATTAATATTTAAGAAAAGAAAAAAAAAACTTACAACATAGCAAAACCTACTGCACATAATTATAAAAATACCATCATAATTTTTGTAATTTGATGGGAGAAAACTTCCTAACAGACAAGTTTGAACAATACGTTTGTTACATGAAAGAACACTTTTACTAAATCTATTACAAAATTAGGAAATCAAGATACTTACCTCCATATGACCTGGGAGATACTTGCTGCAAGTAATAAGAGAACAGTTTAATTATCTAATAGATTATGTTTTAAATGTTTCTTATATGCAAAAAATAAAGGGTTATGCACTATATAAATTAGCAGGTATTCTCGATAAAATATAAAAATGTCAAATAAATTTGAAATTTATAATTAATTAGTTTTAGAGGCAAGACAACAATGATCACAGAATTGTCAAAACTTGACAAAGAAATTAAACAATAACATAGAATGGTTTAATCAAAAAGAATTGGAGAAAGATCTGATATTTTTTTATACAGGAAATAGAACTGAAATTATTTATGTCTGAAATTTAAATTTACATTTGTAACCAAAAAGCTAACTGTTTGACAAATATTCACTCAAATTTTAATCATCTACATATCAACTAATTAATGTAAACAAAAAACTTTCAATATTCAATGATTAGTGAAGCTATTAAAAAAATAGTGGAAATAATTTATTTTTACATAAGTAAACCTCCTCTTAATATAAATATATCTACAAGTAGCTGCTGAAAAGTTCTTAACTGACCAAGAGATTTTTAAAAAATTCTCATTTGGTCTCTTTTTGAAAATTGGGTGGAAAAAGTCAAATCCCTGAAGAATTTAAATTTAATTTTTTTCTAAAATTATCTCAATACAAGTTAATTAATACTCTAAATTTGAAAAGTGCAGCATTAACTAAAATACTGCTTTGTTTAGCAGCTATTTTTAGTTTTTTTGTATGCAAATTGAAAAACAAAATTATTGAAGCTATATTTCTAAAGATTTTCAAAGAAATTAACTAAATTTTTAAAAATATTTATATTCCTCAGAAACACCTAAATGCTTATATGACAGTGTCTTTGTAATTTATCATAAAATAGTAGTCTGCTGAATTTTTAGCAATATTTTAAAACTGTTTTTGTTAATTATGTTGTACAATCAGCATACACAAAAGCACTTTCTTATGAAAAACATTATGTAATTAAATTATCAATAAAAAAAATTTGTTTTTTGTTGAAAAAAGAAATAAAAAATATATTTTCTGGACTGTAAAGGGTGTTTTACTTGTAGTTATTTCCAACAAAAAACTTTTCTTGTCAAAAAATATTAATTAAAAATTTAAAAGTCAAGTTCTTATGATTTTATTTTAGTTTCATGACAAACTTAAGAGCACAAATTTGCATCTTGCAAAGAAAAACAATTTTGATTTAATTCAACTTTAATTAAAAGCACTAAGTCAAAATTTTCCCTTAAATCAGTAAAAATCACAATCTGACTGACAGAAATCTTGATATTGTAAACAAATAAAAATCTATTGAAAAATCATAACAGACAATTTTTGAGAAATAATTACTTTAATATTTACTTAATTTAACTACACAAAAAGTTCCCAAATTTTATTTTAAAAATAAAAAAAACGTATTTTTATAATATGGAAGGCTCACATCACTTAATATGAGTCAAAGGTCAATTTGGCTGGGTGGAGTTATATTTGTATTAATGGCTGACTGACAGCAACAAAAATTTGTGCTGATTGATCTAGATTGAATTGCTATGGCCTGTAATAAAAATTAATATTTTGTAAATTAATTACTTTTTTGCAATTTTTCATTGTTGATCAAGATTTTTTTTTTCTTTTTAATTACTTTTTAAAAGTCAATTCTGGAATTTTTCTCTCACATGAAATGTTCATTATAAAGAATGTAAGAAAAAACTCAAATGTTTTTATTATTTTTTGGTTTCAAGTAATAAATATTTTTGATGAAAATGATTATTATGATATCTAAAGAAATAAAATTTTCATGGTCAACAAGGGAGCAAACATTTATTTTCAAAATAAAATAAAATCTTATTGCTTAAACATAAGTGAAGTAATGGAGCAATCAGAACAAGTTATACAAGGAAAACAATTGCAAAATATTTCAATGGTTTGCATGTAAACATGAGAAATGCCCTGTCTTCTATATTAATTTAATCTAAAAATAAAATAAGTAATCTGTTCCTACATCATATTTTGAAAGTGTGTAGTTCTCATCCTCATCTGTGTGATATGTCCCTATGTACAATTTTGTTGAAAATAATGGAGATATACATTCAGTGTCTTAACTATGACGTAGCTAATGTGAGAATGACAACTGAAAATCAGAAATGATTACCAGTCTGCACACCCATAGTGAATAATATCCCATCAACAACCATGTAATATTTTTTACATTATTTTAAAAATAGTTGCAGAGTATCTTTTCTCAATATCTTTTGGATATTTATTTATTAAAGTATATTAGTTTTTAAAAACAAAATCCTATAGTACACCTTATGAAATAATAAATAAAAACTTAAAAATGTCAAATTATTTAATCAATATTATAATATCATGTAATCTTTCTCGATACACAATTGAAAATCAAATTTAAAAGGGGAGGGGAGCAATTACATGGAAAAAAAATTTCTTCTCTAAAATTTTGAAGAAAAAACTGCTTTAAAATATATATATATATTCTTTTATACTAATGCCAAAAATTTTGGAAAATTTTTAAAACTGTTTTTTGGGGTTTTTTTTTTTTTGTTTTGTTTTTTTTTTATTACCCATAAAAAAGTAATTATATTTTTATAGTAACAGTATTTAAACAAAGTAAACATTTTTAAACACAAATATTTCTGATTCTGATTAAAATCTAGAAATAATATCTATATTATGATGTTTTTCCATTCAGTCAAAATGTGACAAAATCCATTGGTAATTTTCAATTATATGGACATCAGGGGGTTAAAAATTGACACCTGGCCACAGAAACTTTAGTAAAAGGCAAAAGATTTATCCTGACCACTAGAAACCAGGAGTAACCCCCATCCAACCCCCAATAGCAGCAATAAAGAAAATAGGGTTCAAATTAAGCCAAATTGATTTTGACATGGCTGGGTCAAAGGCCAGCCAGCCAGCAATAACCAACTGCTAAAACAAGCTGTCATCAAAGAGTGAGGAAGAAGAAAAAAGAAAAAAAAAGGAGGGGGGACATTGGTTAAAAAGGGATTGATATGGGTTATTTTTTTTGTTTTGTTTTTTAACAAGTCATGACCCAGGTGATGACAAAAACACTTAGCAAAGGACTTTTTTTTTCTTTTCTTTTTTTTTGCTGCATGTCTTTCATCAGTGGGTCATATGCTTCAATGATGTTCACACCAACTAAAGAGAAAAGATTGAAGTTTGAAAAAAATTGTTTTGAAGTGAAAAAAAAACATTCTCAGAAAATTGGCCATACAGCCAAATCGAAGATTAATTACCAGTGAATAATTCCCTGTGCAAACAATAGCCATCTAGATCCAATAACATGGCCCCAAAACATCTAGAAGGTAACTGACTGATCAAAAACTTGTTGCACATAATTGTGTTTTAAACAGTCAGTTTCCATTATTTCATCTTGATGTTGTCATTTTCAGACAGCCAAGTCATCGAGGATTTGGGAAAACAGTTTGGCACAGGTTTGCTTTGAGAACTTTGCATTCTATGAGGGGTTTAAATGTTACTGACAAATGGGATTTTTCAAGGAATTTTTCGTTCAAGTGCCATGTTAGATTTTCCTATATGACAAAAATAAGCGTTTTAAACAGCTGTGATAGACACAGACCTTCAGTAATTAGTAATGCCTTTCTTAACATGTCAATGTAACTTAGCAACTGTTTGCCAACCTTTTACCTCCTGTAACTCAAGAGTTCCATTGTATGAAAATGAACCTCAGATTGAATCATAATTGATCCACCTCCGCAGTGTTGTCTTGAGAAAATTTCTTTTGGGACATCTTTCGCAAGCCAGTAATGCTGAAAACCATCTGGGACATCAAGGTTGAATTTTTTCTTGTCTGTAAACAACACTTTCTTCCATTTACCTACATCCCAAGTTTCATAATTGGAAGCAAATTGTAAACAGAAGGCTTCATGGCAAGGAAGAAGGCAAGGCCTCTGCAGCTGTTTCACGTTCTTAAAACCTTTCTTATTTAAATGGTGTTGAATTGTTTGAGAGCTGTATTCAGCATCTGTATTCACTTTTATCTGATTTGATGCTAGGCTTGAAACTCTCTTAACTTCTAGCCTAATGCGTCTGTCTAGAGATGGTGAGATTTTATTGGGGCAACCAGTTGATTTTTTTTTTAGAAGCATACGCATCCAGATTTTAATGAAGTTAGCAATGACAGCTCTGCTATGGCCAATTTCATTTGCAATGGCTTATTGCAAAAGACCACGTCTTTGAAGTTCAACAATCCTGCCCTGTTTGAACTTGGTTAAAATTTTACCCTTAGCCATTTTAAAATCTGAAATTTAATGCTGGAAATGGGCACATTGACTAGTTCTAAAATTTTTGTCCAGTAATTTTTTTTTTCACACATGGTTTCATCTTTAATACCAAAAAAATACCTTTTCAATGTTTGTTTAAATTAATCAAATTAAAAGCTTAAAATTTTCACTTGTTTGTCAATAAACTACATTTTTCTATTTCAATTAAAGTAACAGTATTTTATATTTTAAGATTTTGACCAGGAGTATATTTAAATAAATTAAGATAATGACATAAACATAAAATTGCCTCTATAACACACTATTAATGTAAAAAAGAACATATGTACTTGATATCCATGAACGATGATAAACCAAGAATCAACATAGACTTTACTCAAAGTATCATTTTTGTAAAAAAACACATCAAAAGTTACACAAAATACTTGGACATAGTAACTATAAAAAAGAACATATTCACATGGCAAAATATTTCTCAATAAAATCTTTAAATACTGATGTACAAATCATATATGCATACATATTCAATGATAAGGAAACATTTTTCTCATAACTGTGATAATGTATTTTGAGCTCACTCACACTTTAACTAATTCATAACCCAACACCCCTTAAATTTCTGGGCTGACTAAGAAAAAATGCTGATATCTAATGTCACTGGAACAGATGCTAATTACACAAATCTTTTTCATTGTGGATCAAACTCCATGCTATTCACACAAAAAAAGTGGGGGGAGGATTCCAAAAAGCTATGAAGTAATTCTCATGATCTGATTTGATCATGATAATTGGTGCATAGCTATTAACATGAATCCTATTGAACATTATTATACATAATTTGTTTAAACTAGTATCCACATCCCTGGTTATCAAAGTTAGCATTTCAACCATTGCTGGCCTTTTTTAATTACCTGTCATATTTGGTATCATTCTTGGAATTAATAGGAGTTTTTTGAGAGAGAGAATGCTAAAATCTTGTTTGTTCAGATTTTAGGAAGTGGGCTGAGCCAAGAACTTTTAAGTACCACCTTGTATCCAGTTCACAAGTGTAGACTGTTTTCCATCTACCGTTCTCATATTAGTTAATTATTCTGTTATTTCATATTTGTGATCATCACTTCTACTCATTTGACTGACTGAAATTCAGGTTAACTGTAACACTTAACCAATGCTCATATCCACTAGGAAATTGCCTCATAGACAATCAAGGAATGTAATTTTGTAGAATATGTCAGTTCTTTCCTAATCAAAGGTTCTGATATGATATTCAAATCTATGCTAAGCCTACTAAAGAAGTTAACAGAGCCTCACATTTGTGTGGATTCTTTCAATTATCTTATTCTTCAATGTTGCTTTCTATTTATTGGTTAGGTATTGTAGTTGACCTGGTGATGATGAATTCAATCACTAGGTCAGGCAATGAATCCAGTAGAATGAGCAGAAGCAGCAACAGAAAAGGACAAAATAACAATAATTAACTCCCAAGATATCCTTAAGTATGGACAGCAAAATGAAATTAGTCAACTCCATGAATTGAATAAAGGTTTCAATTTGAAATTCTGAGAATGTTACTGAATATAACAGGATAAAGTCAAAACATGACTATAACCAAGTTGATCTGAAAAATTCAGGTAAAAATTATCCTACTGAATATGCTTAAACCATTTTGAATAGTAAATAATGAAAATATTCAGAAAATTTCAAGAGATTTGCTTATTTTCAACACAGCCTGGCCAATGGGAAAATAGCAAATCTGATAAATCTAATAATGCCTGAAAGAGGAAAACATCTAATAGTTACAATTGACAAGGCTATCAAATTCAAATTTGCATATTCTTGTATTCTTAAATCATAGCATAAAGACTCATGTTTACAAATAGGTGTGTTGAGTATTTAAATACAATAAGCTCATATATACACTTACACGTCTATTTGCTTTTGTTATATATGTCCCACATTCATACACTTCATAAATTATATACTTAATTCTAAAAAAATTTTTTTAATCATTTCATCCCAAGCAGGGTGATAATGCTAGCAAGACTTAAGGGGTTACTGGAAGTGAAAGAGAATGGGACAACTTTAGTGAGGAGAAAAGACAATAAAAAACAAAATTCAGGAAGACAAAATGTCAATAGATTGTAGGTGGCAAGAAAGCAAGACACCAGAAGAGAATTCCATAGACAACAAAAGAAACTATTACGATAGAACTTACGGTTACATCTAGCTATTTCAGCAGTGAAGCAATGGCATCTAGTTGCCAAACTGGTAGTACACTTAAATTCATGTGGTTGAAGTACATAGGAGAGCTCATTAGAACAACTGCCATGAAGACAGGGAAGTAACATCACTGTGGTGGAAAAATGAGTGAAGATGCCAGGTCAGGACCAATAATATTAGAGCCTACTTTGGATTTTGTTGAGAATCTCAAGATATATAGCAGAAGTACTAGACCAGATCTGACAGCAATATTCAATGCACAAACAAATGGTGGATTTAAAAATGTGCAAGATAGACTGACAACAAAAATTGTCTATCACGACACAGTGAACCCACATTCCTAGCAGCAGATCTAGCAATATAATATAATCACTCCACTTATGTCAGTGGAAAATGCGATACCAAGGTGCAAGAAGGTGCTTTCCTGGATGTTAGCCATGATGATGGAAGGCAAAAATGGTTCTCTATGATGATGAAAAAATAGCAGTTTCAATTTGGAGACTTTAAAATTTAGAAGCCATTTCTTGTCTCAGTTAACAACTGATTGGAGGTCATTTTCGAGAGCAGCTTTTACTTTGTCAGATCTTATCAAGCTTACTATTAAAACAAGAGTAAATAGTTGTGTCATCAGCATAAATTCCTAGTTGGGTACTGATGACATTCGGAAGATCATTGATAAAAATAAACAATGTAGATCCAAGGATAGAGAGCACTGAAGGATACCCACATTAATTTGAAATGATCTGGAAGCAGGACTGTTTAACACAACCTTCATTAAATGATTTGTTAAAAATGATTGAATTAAGTCAAATATATAACCAGAGACACACCTTGGGAAGAAGGCCAGCATGCAAACCATGTATCTAAAGCCACAGGCTGAGCCTCACTGTTCTTATCTAAAGCCTGATAAACAAATTCAGCAATAACTGTTAACACATCTACTAATAAAATTACTACTCAGTGCTAATCATTCCAAGCAAACAAGTATTTATCAGATACATGCAACGCCACATTTAAAATGTTAATACAATATACAACACTCAAGTTAGATTAGTATTTTTAACATGTGATGATATATTAAATTACTTTTTATCAAAATTTTCATACTTATGAAATTTTTTTTTCCAGTGCTGAACATAAAAAAGAATTTAGAACTACAATTTAATTTCTTTAAACTATAGAACCATTGACATGAAAATCAACTTACTTCAGCAGCACCCTGAGCATAAAGATCTGCTAATAACTGAGTAGTCATATGAACCTGTAAAATTTTAATGAAATAGAATTGTCATAGTGAAAAATATTTGTATTACAAACATAAAATATATACAATTCTAAAAAGCAAAAAAAAAAAATAATAATAATAATTAGGTTAAGAACTAGAGCCTTGTAGATTTTTTTACTTTTTCAGAATGAAATACACAATTTTGTTTTTAAAAGTATAAGCTTTACTAGCAGTTATCATCATCAAATTGTAAATTATTTTTTTGTTTCAAGAATTCTAAATACAGCTAATAAATTTGAAAGAATATAACAGAAAGGATTATGTATAAACATCAAAATATTTCAAGAGTTTACACCCAAATGTTTGGGGGAAAAATTCAACAGAATGCTCACTTAAATATTAATATTAAAGATTTTACACTAATTACTTCATTTAAAAAATCAAGCCATTATATAATTTGGAAGAGAACAGTACGATTAAAAAATCAGCTTTATACACAGCAGGAAAATATTCATACCTGTTTCCTGATAGCTGGACCAATATTCAATTTTCTATCTTTGAAGATTAAATTTTCAGCCTAAAAGAAAAATAATAAAATGTTATGTTTTTGTACTTTATTTCTTAAAAGTTGGCCTAGATAATGTGAATATGAATAAAAAAAATTTGGGGGGATATTTGTTTTTAAGTTTGTGCTCCAAGTAAAACAAATTAGGCAAGATTTAAGATAAATTTTTAAATATATTATAAATTGAAAAATTTCCAAAATAAACACTATTTTTTACTAAATTCATAAACATTACTAATCTTTTGAAATATTCTATATTAATATATATTATACTTTCAGCAATAATTAGAGAAGTAATTTAAAAATCAGGGAATAATAGAATAAATTTGAGTAATTATAACACTGAATTCAATCCCTTCTAGTTTAAGTTTCAAATGTTGCATTTAAATATAAGAATTTTTATAGTTAACTAAAATCAAAGACAATATATTTGGATTGCACAATGAAAAGGAAGGAATAAGTTAATTTTTTTTTTTTTTTTTTTTTTTTTGTGAAAAAGGTGTAAGTGGCTGGCTTTGTAGCATTTAGAACAAAATCTATATAGTTTTAAAATCAAGAGCTTATAAGAAATTTATTGTACTGTATCTGTTACTACAACTCATGAAAATATTCTATAAATTTATTAATTATTAATTTTATTAAAAAATAAATTATTCCACTATGAATTTTCCATTGTGATTATTCACTAAGTTAAAATTCCTACTTTTACAAGAGTTGCTAAAATGTTCTTGACCCGACTAAAGAGGGATCTCACAATCAGTGAATATTGGCTTGTGATATACAAATGTCTTAAACCCATGTTCTGCTTGAGATATTAGTACATCCAGGAATGTTAACTTGTTATTGTTTTCTCTCTCCATTGTGAACTGTATCAATTATTTTATTGAGTTCACATAGTCTAGCAGTATCTAGACCTCTTTCTGGTGTGGCCAGAGTATGAAGGTGTCAATAATAACAACAAAATTGTAATATGAGCTCTGTTAAAAAATGATTTCTGAGACATTAGGTTTATGATTTCCAAAAATTCATACACTGATGTCCTCAAGAACACATGGATAAAAGCATTGGTTGATCCAAATTGTGAGTTCAATATCTGGCTACAGCAGAGGTGAACAAAAACTTGAAGAGTTGAATTAAAGAGAGATGACTGATACCAAGATATCTGGAGGAGGCATGGCATGTGGAACTAGAACAATCTCGGTGGATGAAATAAAGGGTTCAGTTAGAAATTCCATTCTGGAGTATACAACTTCTGAAATGTCAGGAATATGGCAATGAAGATGAGGACAACAATCTGAACAGTGTAAATAGTGTAAATACTTAAAAATTATATAAAGAAGGCATTCACATTATATTCTTCAGTTATTTTTACAGATATAGCCAGTGTAGAAAAACAGATAAACATCAATCTGTCATTAAGCTGTCAACATCACAAATAAATAGCTACTGCCATGTTAAAAAAATACATTACTGTTTTAAACTTGCAGTAAATAATATTTGTTTCAAATCAGATTAATTATACTTTCAAAAAGTATATTTTATTTTTGGGAGATTTTTTAAAAAGAGAATTAATATTGCAATAAATGCAGGCTAAAAATGAATGATGCTAAAATCAGATATTTTACAAAAAAAAAAAAAAAAAAAAAAACTCCTTTCAGTCAATTTAAACTAGTTTTGAAACAGAGCAAAGTATTTTGCTTATTGGAAATATTAAATTTAATCTATTAGCTTGAAATTAGAACTAAAATAAAAGTTTCAAGAAAGATTTTCATTTTTAAAAATTCATTTCAAACCTGAGACTCTATGGAAATACCTCTATAAGCTTAAGAGAAAAAATTATGAAAAGACACTATATGTTTGCACAAGTTCAACATTTAAATGGGACCTAATCCCTAGAATGTACATCAAATGAATGACCATTAAAAGGAAAACTCAACACATTTTAAAAAAAAAAAAAATTATTTTTTACAGACAACCCGAGAGTGCAAAATTTAAGAACTACAAATATACTCGGTTTATATATATTTTATTTTATAATATGAATTCTGTTTAATGTTTAAGAAAGTTCATAAAGTAGCTTAAGTAAAAGTGATTTGAGAATGACAGTTTCGACAAAATACAGTAAGTACTTTAATTAAAGACAATATATAAGAAAAAGATTTAAACTTTATAATATTCAACAATGAAACAGGTTTAATTTAAAATGGGGTTCAACTGGCAATGTTCATTCACTTAGTCAACAATACAAATTTCAAGGAGTTGGACCCCAACAGTCTTGCACAAAATAAATACAATATATCCTCCTTTTAATTTGTGTGCCTTGGGTTGTATAAGAAACCAACAAATTAAAAACAAAACATTGCTCCACAAGGTGCCATTTTCATTTTTTTTAAGAGTGGAATTTCTCTGGTATTTTATTCACTAAAGTTTTAAATTCAGAAATTTTGGATGGAAAGACAATTTCAAACCTTATCTTAAGTCCACCAAATTGAGTTCTTTTTTATGGGACTATTTTGATATGTGTAGTGAGACAACTTTAAGTACAACAAGTTTAAAAAATGCCACCATGAAATTGTCAGCTTTGAAAATGTGGAAAAAATGCTGGTCATTGAAATATTGACAACTTAAATAAATATCGAAGAAAAATTAATCATCACACACAAGAAAGAATTGTATCTTTAGAAAAAAAAAAGATTAAATTTTGTTTACATATTAATTTTATCAAAATAGCCTCAAATACGAGATATCAGCAGTTGAAATTGAAGAAAATGTCACTATTTTGACACGTTTTCTGTGTAAAGTAGGGTTTTTTAGGATAGCTACTAATAATCTGAAATTTTCAATTTAAGACATTGCTAAAATATTCAAGTTATAATTATTATTGTGTGCTTCCTGCAAGCATTTATACTAAACACTATAAATAAAAAATTCCAGTTGTAAAGCCACAGAGCATGAAAATGATTAAAATTAAAGATGCTTTATCAGGAAAATTAAATAAAAATGAATCATTCTCTGCTTTGACTTACTTCTTTTTTTAATATTCTGTCAGCATCTTCTTGATTTTCAAACGTGACAAACCCATACCTGAAAAAATTATATTTAAAAATGAAACATTAAAACCAAAAAAACTTACAAAATTAATAGATGTTTAAAATTTCCATATTTTCTTATGGTGCTCCAACACTTCTAACTTTAAAAAACAGCTTGTTGCTATTTTTTTACTGTAGTAATCGATAATTTGAGCAATACACAGTTAAAAGCAGTATTTTTTTTCACTTTAAATTTACTACACTAGTTCAACATTGTCATTGTTTCAAATAAATATATTTTTTCAATAACTTAATTATAGCTAAGTAAACTATTTATCAAATCTAAATGTGTTTCAACTATAATAAACCTGCTAAACAATAAAATCAAAGCAAAATGGCTAAAAATATTGTATTTCAAACTGATCAAATCGAATTAAATTTATGATTTAGATATAACATCAGATCATACTTATTACATTCAAATGTAAATCTATTTTGATTATCTTGCTGTTATTTGAATTATAAGTGTTAATAGTCTAGAATTTACAGTACAATTTTGTTAGGGCAAACCAAGGTGGATAACAAGCAAAGAAAAAACATTTTAACTTCAATACTCATTATTAATGAATGTAAATCTAAAAGTGTTCATTGGATGATGCAATACACTGAAAAAATAAAAAACTATCACTTGTTAGGCAGAACTAAACCTTTAGAATTTAATTCCTTACTATACCTTTTTTAATATTTTAGAAAACCCCTTTTCTATGTGGTATATCCTTAAATCTAGTTTTATTAGAAAGTACAATGTACAACTTATTTTAAATTAGTCAATGACAATTTATCTGATTTTTTGCACTTTCTGCATCACAAAATACTGTTAATACCGAGAAAGAAATTTTTTTAAATGTTTTTTTTTTTTCTTTTGCATAATTTTATCACAATTTTTAAATGTCTTCAAAGTTGGCGTGTATGATCTGTTTTCAAGCCACAGAAAAACGTTTTATAATTCAGATGATGTATATTTTTTTCTGATTTCTGTCAATTTCTGACATGGTTTATAGTTTTTGTGTGTAATTCAAGTTAGAATTATTTAAAAGCAAATATTATAGTCTCCATTCCAATAGTAAAATGATGCAAAGTTTTTCTTTATTATTTATAAGCATCACTTCATCAATTATAATTTAGCATTGAAATTGTCTTTAAAGCTAATTTTTTAATTAAAATATTTAAACAGTACTAAAAAATTTGCAGAGCTTCTACACGAAGTGTCAACTCATGGTTGATGACTTCTTCAAACTCCTTCATTATTATTTGTAATTACAAGGTGACACTATAAGTAGCATTAAAATCAGGGCCCAGACTAATTTTTTCCTATCATCCCAGAAACATTTTTAAAAACAACTTTAATCATCCTAAATAAATTTTAAGCTGTCCCAAAATGTTATATATTTTTTAACTTTGTTATCATTTATAGTTGTTAGTAGCACAATAAAAAAAAAAAAACCATTAAAATGTTTAGGAAATAAATCAAAAAAGCTAAAAAAATAAACTTTAAAAATGAATAAACACAAAAACAAATTAGTTCAATTTTAATATAATTTTTACAAAAATCACAACTTTATTTTAATTTAAACATTTCAGTTAAATCACCTTAATAATTTTATACCAAAATGTTCTTATTAATTTATTTTCATGCACAGGGTAACTTTTAGCAGAAATTATGGAATTGTGCTCGATGCATTCATTCCAACTATACACAATCAAAGGGTTTTTTAAAGTCTTTATCTAAATAAAAAAAATGTTTCCTTTACAATTACCTGCTTTATATTGTAACTAAATTTTCTGTTTGTTTTATCATTTTTTTAAGTTCTCCCTTGTATTTTCAATTCAGTTTACGATAAATAGAAAACATAACACATAAATGTGGTTTGTTGATTCATTTAAGTTTATTTAACCAAAAATTGAAGAAGAAAAATTGTTTATGAAAACAAAATTGATTCTTCCAATTAGATCCTAATGTTTTTCACATTTCAAGATAAAAAAAAAAAATCTAAATTTCAGTTTCATTCACCAGTTTTTGCACTAAATTTTTGTTTATTATTTTTGTGTGCATTATATTAATTAAAATCCCACCATTATTAGAATAAATATTACATTAAACATTAATCCTTGCATTATCCCTAAAATCCTAACAAGCTGTTCTGTTGTCCTCAGCATGATAGGATGATGTTAATCTTGAGCCCTGATTAAAATAAAACCAAGTCACTTAGTATTTACAGATTGTGTATTATTTAAATTAAAATTTCCTTACAAAAACAATTTTGATGTTTGTATGTCACTTATCAAAGTAAAAGATTTATTCATGATTTTATGGTTAAATTATATTAACAAGTGTTGACAAATCTGCTTAATCTTCTAAATCTTTACCTTTCTACAAACCCCCTTTCTTTTCTAACAAGAAACATTTCCTTTGGAACAAAAGAAAAAGGGGCAAGAAAATGTCATAAAAAGACTAAGAAATATTTTAGTATTTCATTCTATCATAAAAAATAGGGTGCCTCAAAACAGTATAATCAATTCACTTTAGTGATTTGTTTGTATGTATGTATGTATGTATGTATGAATGAATGAATGAATGTGAAATGGTGGAACCCAAACTGGATCTCCAGTTTTCCTTACAGCTCCTGCCAGTCAATGGTCATTGAGAGCTTTTTCATGCCACCAGATGAATCTCTGGTGGAGCAAAGACAGTAAGAGTGAGAACTGTGCATCCACACACCTACCATAATCCCTGCTTTTTCTGGAGTTAGCATCATGAATGTACAGGAAATAATATTTTAAATGAATTCATGCATGGAATCTGCTTATAAAATCTCTACATTTATAAAATATAACTCAGTGATTTCATTTTTTTTTTTTTAGAATCTACACAAAGAAGCTTACTTTAAGCAAACCCCAAATCAATTGCATAATATAAAAAATGTTAAAACCAAACATGAAAAATTAAAATATTTCCTATAAATCAGTGATTGCTAAATAGTTTAGCTTAAAAAATTTCCCTTCAGGACAAAGATATTTTTAATAGATTTTATTAGTTGCATCTTTAGCCATGACTACCCAAAAGAAATGCTTCAAGTTTGAGGGATTATAGACTTGATGTATTCATCATTACAATTCTTGACTGAGACATTAAGTTCAATTTAAACAATATTACTTTTAGTTAATATTTAAAAAATTAATTAAAGTTCAGCTTTAATTTGCTAAATGAAATAAAGTCTATTAAGCAAAAAATGTACTAGCTGAAAGTTTATCAAAGGATAATATGCTAATAATTTTTAATAACTGAAGATACATTTTTAGTTCAGAAAATTTCTATAAATTTCAAATTAATTATAAAGGGTTCGTGTTAACTAACAATGCATAAAAATTATGCATACCTTTTAAATAGTAATCAATTTTCTTCTATAGAGTAAAAAGTCAAACTCTTCCCACACGACAATATATTTACAATGTGATAAAAATCTGACAATAATAAGCAATAAGTGTGCTAATTTCGTGTGTTAAGTTCTTTTTTAAATTAAGTCTTTTCAGAGAAAATTTTAAAATAAGACAAGTTCATTATCATCATTTTGTTCATTTATATTGAACTACTTTAATGTTGGTAGAATTTGATTAGCACCTACTTAAAAGTTACATTCATTAAAAAACATAAATGATGTGCATTTAAAGAGAAAAACCAAAATTGGCCAGGAGAGTTGACATGCACTTTGTCTAAATCCTGACCCAAGTAACTAAACATTAACCATTTATCATCCCTGTATTGTCACACTATGCCTAAAAAGTGTTAATTCATTTTTGTTTCAAAAATGTAAATTTTACAAATAACTCAAAAGCTACCTCAAGAAAAAAAAAACTAACACAATGTTTAGATACTTTAAGATACTTTAAAATTCTGAGAATTGACCAGACTTTGACAAGTTCTGTAGTATAGAAACAGGTTCTGGTCTTTAATAATGAGTTACACTTTGAGCTGTTTACAAATACTCCACCAAAGGTGAAAGACTCAGCCCAAAATACCAGTCTCTCACAGTGGAGCATGAAGATGAAATTATGGTGGGAAAGAGTTATCTGGCATTGAATATGAGAAGCCTATAATTGTGAACAAGTATAGAAATGTTGCAAAAAGGTTGCTTTTAATCCTCAATAACTTGTATGGTGGAAATAAAAAGCAAGAGGCCATTTTACAACAAAATAATGCATAACAAAAACGTTTGATGAGCCTATGATGTTTTGGCCAGGTCAACTGCTATATCTTAAATCCATAGAGAATATATGGATGCTTATTACAGCCAAAATTGTTAGAATAAAAGGGTAATTGCAAAGAAATTTCTAAAGAAAACAACATTTTCTTTTTTCTGTGTGTGTGTGTGTGTGTGTGTATACACGCACTTTGTTTTTTTAAATATACTATTTTCCTTTTTCATTTTCTCTATAAATGAGTTAATTGATAGTTCAGTCTTTTTATGAGAAAATTGTAGTTTAAAACATAAAAAGAGTGATGAAACTTATAGTCTAGTATTTCAGCTACATGTAAGCATCAGTCTTACATTATAAATGAAATTCTAAACAGAGGGGTCTTAATAATGAATGAAAATTTGGCACATGTTAAGAACAGGAGGGCATACACTAGCAAACACTAATCCCAATTTTTGTCAGATTTTTTTTTATGGAGATTCAGGAACCTGATAACAGTCCTTGCTTTCACAAAATTCAATGCACTGTGATAATTTTCTATCATTTTCTGATGTAATTTGCCAAAGATCTGATATCTTTACCCAGAAATAAGTTTGAAAGACATTACCTGCAAAAAAGCTATTCTGATTTATCCTATTTCCAGAAGATTTAACTTTTTGAGACCATAATCTTTCTTTTACGAACAAAACAGAAGAGTTGTGAGGAATCTTCCAATTGAAAATATATACTGTTAAAGTTAAAATAACAATATCAAATGCAGTAATAAACAAAAACAAGCAAACTAATTCATGAAAAACAAAA